ATCAAGGTTTTTTTTTTCCACAATGCCTGAAGATGAGTCTGGTCCCCGGGACCTCCATGTTTGAGGGAAGAGAACCAACTCCAACAAGTTGTCTTCTGACTTCCACATGCATACTGTGGCCTGACTGCACACAAATAAATGTAAAAGAAATTTTAAAATAAAATTTCAAAACAAGCATGTGTACGAGCTGCCAGAGCAGGATGTCAGGTATCTTCCTCTATTCCTGACCACCTTACTGCCTTGAGACAGGGCATTTGTGGAAATGTCAGTAAAATGTGCTATCTTTTCTGTCAAAGGAGTAAAGGAAACAAAGTTTCAACATTAGCTGAAACCAGCATCTCCTTTGTCCAGGGTTCCTTCAGCTTTGTTCTTCCCATCCACTGGGGCCTGCCTTCCTAGTTCTTGAGCTATGGTCTTAGGACAGGCCCATAACCTAACATTTGACTAAGATCAAAGCATGCGCTCAAGATTGTGCCTCCTGGTCTCAAAAATTGTACTTCCCTTACCAACAGTGCTACATTTACATCAGCAGATGCCATAAGAATTTGAAGCTCTGCTGGGTGTGCTTGCCTGTATAGCTGGCTCCATATGCAGCTGGACAGCCTTCTGCAAAAGTAAACTTTTTTTTGCATTATATGGTCATTTCCCTGAGACCCCAGACCCATTTCTAACATTTAGCTAGGCTGGCTGGCTAGCATGCCTTCAGGATCTCCCCGTCTCTCTGCCTATCCTTCCAAACGCTGGCTAACAGGTACACAGAGCCATGCCCAGCCTTTCATGTGAGTGCTAAGGATTTGAACGCAGGTCCTCATGCCTGCAGCACAAGCACTCTTACCCACTCGAGCTACCTACCCAGTCCTATGCTTCTTTTATAATACAAAAAAAAAATTTTTTTCTTAAAAAGAAAAATCTCGCTGGGTGGTGGTGGCGCATGCCTTTAATCCCAGCACTTTTGGGAGGCAGGGGCAGGTGGATCTCTGTGAGTTTGAGGCAGCCTGGTCTACAGAGTGAGTTCCAAGATAGCAAGGACTATTTATTTCAACGAGAAACTCTGTCTCAAAAAAAAAAGAAAAAGAAAAAAGAAAGAAAGAAAAATCTCAACTGGGCACAGTGGGACATAATTGTAGCACCAGTTACCCAGAAGGCTAACGCAAGAAGACTGAGCCAGGCGGTGGTGGCGGATGACTTTAATCCCAGCACTTAGGAGGCAGAGGCAACTGGATCTCTGAGTTTGAGGCCAGTCTAATCTACAAAGCAAGTTCCAGGACAGCCAAGGCTACACAGAGAAACCCTGCCTCAAAACTAAACAAACAAACAAAATACTATGAGTTCCAAGCCAGCCTGACTCCTTTCCCAAGGAGAATAAAAAAAAGCTGGGACTGTGGCTTGGTGGAGAGAGTGCTTGCACAAAGCCCTGGTTTGATCCCTAGCAACAGATCAGAAGCCTGTATGTTATCCTCTGCTACACATCAAGTTCAATGCAAGCCTGGTTATACTGGTTACCCTGTCTCAAAACAAAAACAAAAACAAAGCCGGTGGTGGGGGCACTCACTTTTAATCCCAGCACTTGGGAGGCAGAGGCAGGTGGATCTCTGTGACTGTGAGTTCAAGGCCATCCTGGTCTACAGAGTGAGTTCCAGGACAGCCAGGGCTGTTACACAGAGAAACCTTGTCTCAAAAAACAAAAACAAAAAAGCTCCAAATTCAACAATCTGTATGTACCCCTTATCACAGAGACCAGATACCAATGGGGCTCCCACTGCTAAGGCAAGCAGGAAGTGACTCACCTCCCACTCTGGTACCTGTTCTGTGCCTAAAGAGAAGTCGCAGAAGTAAGCTCCCAGGCCAACAGTTTCTGTGAGCAGGAAGGGTCTTCTAGCTATGCTGTACTGGCCTCATCCTATATTCCTGCTGGGAAGAGGACAATTCTGTATCGTGGGGGTGGAGTGGGAAGGGGGTATATCTCTCTAGACCCAGAACTCAATCTGATGGTCCACTTCCTAGGCCCCAGACTCTCAGGCAGGGTTCAAGTGGAAACTCACATCTAGGCTAGCAACTGGTGCTTGTTTCCTTTTTTAAACACCTGAAGGTATTTCCATCAAAGCATCCCTATGTAGCTCTGCCTGAACAAAACAGGTTCCCAAGAATGTTTGCAATGAGGGACAGGAACAGAAAAACTATTGTGGCAATTAAGACATCAGGGGCCTGAAAATGTAAAGTAGAGCCAGGGATCAAGCTGCCTTTTTGTTTTCAGACCTGGCCTCACTATGTAACAGCGGTTGGCCCAGAACTCAGAGATCTGCCTGCCTCTGTCTTCCAAATGCTGGGATAAAGGGTATGTGCCATCATAAATAACCATCAGATTACTCACTCTTAACCACTGAGCCATTTCTTCAAGACTGATTTTTTTTTAAAAATACACATATATAGGAATGCATTTTATTAGATAGATAGATAGACAGATAGATAGATAGATAGATAGATAGATGGATGGATGGATGGATGAGTGTTTTGCCTGCATGTATGTCTGTGCATCCTGTGTGCAGTGCCAAGGAGGACAGAGACCATGGATGCTCAGAATTAAACCCAGGTCCTCTGGAAGAGCGGCTAGCGCTTATAAATGTTGAGCCATCTCTCCACTTGGCATGTGTGTCCCCACTGCTGAGGCAGAAAAGCTTTTCAGTCACCAGACCACAGACACAACCTCTTACAGGAGCAAAGTGTCAGGTGCCCTTTGAAACAGCCTAGTCTAGGTCTCCCTGTTGCCTGCCACATAGGGTCAACTGTTTGATCTTTCTGCTTTCTTTCATTCCCAGGAAGTCTTGTTTGGTTAGCCAGAAGTGGGTTTCCTGGACCGGCAGGTGGGCGTGGGGGTGGAGGTGGAGTACAATATCTCCTATCACAAGAAGCTACACAAGTGACCATGTTCCCATAGAGCAAAAAGTAGCCCGGTCTACCTAGAGGGACCCCGTCTCCAAAAAAGCAAAACAAAAAAGCAACCTGACCACTGACAACTACATTTGTAGGCTTCAGATACCTTAAATGTCACAAGTATCCCTCTTCCTGTCTCTCATTACAAACATTCTTAGGAACCTGTTGCATTCAGGCAGTTAGATAGGGATGCCTTGATGAAGACAGCCTCACTTGTTTTATTAAAAAACAAAACAACCAGTTGCTAACTTAGATGTGAGTTCCCATCTGAACCCTGCCTTGGAATCCGGGGCCTAGGAAGCACACTGAGAGATTTCATTCTTCTGGGTCTGGAGACCCTCTCCCCGGCAAATAGTACAAAGCTTGCTTGAATGAAACAAGGAATAGAATTGTCCTCTTCTCAGCAGGACTGTAGGATGAGGCCAAACAGCTAGGAGACCCTTAATTGTCACAACAGTACTGCCCTTCCAGAGAACACCAGTTCCCAACACCCACGTGAGGCGGCTCAAAACCATTTGCAACTCTAGCTCCAGGAGATCAATGGTCTCTTCTGGACACTGCAGGGGCCCACTCAAACACACTATTAAACCAAATCTTGCCCAGTGGTGGTGGTGCACACCTTTGATCCCAGCACTCCAGTGGCCAGACTGGTCTACAGAATGAATTCCAGGATGGCCAGGACACAGAAAAACCCTGCCTTGAAAAACCAAACCAACTAACTAAACAAACCCAAGAACAAACACCCACAAATCTTGTGTTCTTACAAATATGTATTATGTGAGTTTTTTCCTGCCCCGCCACCTGCCCCACTTCCCCTACCCTCCCTCCCTTTCTGTTGCCCCTCCTCAAATTTACTCTCATTTGTTAAGTCCAAGGGCAAAATACTTTGCTACCTGAGCCAGTTTCCTGGTCCCTCAAAGTACTGTAGGAGTGTGAGGACCTGGCTGGGTGCAAAAATCAAAGAGAACAGCAGCAAAACATCTGTAGCTGTTTATATGTAAATTAATTACTCGATAAAGTAAAAACCTCAGCCCCTCTGGCACAATAACATTTCAAGTGCTGACAGACACAGGCAACTAGTGGTAACCCCAATGATCAGCAGAGATGTATAGCCTTCATCTGAAGAACTGTGGGGAGAAGTCAGTGGTTATTGCCTTTCTCCAGGAACTCTGTGCCCATTCAAGTTGCTGTTGGCACCAGGACCCAAACACAGAGGCAACAAGAAGGTTCCCTGTCTGTGTATGCTGGCTCGTAAACACACTTCCCATCCCACCCACAGCTCTTCCCACACTCAAGAAGCAAGCCATGGCCAACACAAACTAGGCAGAGCAGCCTTAGCCTTCCCCCATCCCTGGACACTATCAACCCTACCTTTCAGTGGGATCCACTGAAATTCAGAACCTGCAGAAATGGACCACTGTAGCAGAAATCAAAGCAAATGGAATCTAGACTGCTTGAGGAAAACAGAATACATCCCAAAGGCAGGACCATGGCAGAATGGACTTACACATTCAGATCTGGGAGCAGAACATGTGGCTCAGCCAAGGGTGCTGTCGTCTCTCACTAGCCAACAGGCAGAGAGCCCCGACCCTCACGTAGTGGCTATAGATCCAGAAACTTCGGTGTTTGTCCCTGGCCTGCTCACCTCAACCAGACCAGGAGGAAAACTACCACATACCCGAGCCAGCATGAGAACCTCTTGAAATATTAAATGCCTCAAATCCCTGTAGTCCCCAGCTCTAAAAGGGAAGCATCAGAACAGAAAGGGGGTCTATCACCCCAGAAATGTAAACCAGCCTGTCCACGTGGCTGTTCAAATGGAGTAGGCACTAACCCTACACCGGCCACTGGGATCTTATGTCCCTGTATTCACAAATATGACAGTCTTCCAAGAGGAGGTGGCAGGAAAGGCTGTGGAGGCAACCCCATAACTGACTGCCTGACAATAGCACAGAACAGGGGAAGGAAGCTATAATACCCCAGGCCGTCCTGTATCACCATCAGACACAGATCAAATATCTTCACAAGGTCATCAAAAAAAGGAATTCAGAGTACAGGGCTATACTCACATTCCAACAATCATGGAGATCTCAGGGATGCTCAGGGGCCCTGAGAGTAGCACCAAGTAGCCCAAGAAAGGATAGGCAAGGCTGTTTGAGAGCTGGTCCAGGCTGGCACACAGGTGGCAGAATACAGATCCCTGCTCTGCTTTCCTAGATGGGTAAGTGTGCCTCAAAGAGGCCAGCAGGACAAACGGCAATCTGTTTGCTGTGCTCGCTGTCAGTATGCTCAATTTTGGACAAGAATTCAGGTTACAGCTCAGAGTTTGATGTTCTTCATTACAAATACTGTTGTTTCCCTGGATTTAATGGAGTGGAGAGAAAAATCAACACATAAGCAGCTCTCAGTTTGCTCCTTTCCCCCTCCAATTTCAATCTAGATCAGCACTGTCCCTCGCTACCGCACTGATGGAAAAGCTCTCTCTATGCTTAGCCATTGGCCCAAAGTGAGTACCGGACACCCGAAACATGGTCTGTGATCTAAGAGCTAAACTTCTCATTGTATTTAATTTTAACTTCAATGTAATCGTCATACACGCCTAGCAGCTACTAAACTGCTACAATACTAGCTACAATACTAGCTCTAGTTCTAGCCTGTGTTTCTGGATGCAAGAAGCAGGCAAAGCAAGAATCACTGCAAACTAAGCTGACAATCAGCATCAAGCAAGGCATTAAAAACATATGCTCCAGAGTATGCAGCCACTGGCAAATAGGATGTCTGTTCAAAGCAATCCCACTCCAGCCCTTGCCACAAACCACACAGCATCTCCTTCAGTTTCAGCACAGGGCAGGCAGCAAGGTGTGAGCAACTCTGAAGTACTCGTAGCATGAAGCTGAAATTTGAGTCAGTCCAAATGTGACATGGAACAAAGTCACTTAGGAGCCATAAACAGCTTACTTGTGTCATGAGAGCCAATAATACACTCAGTCCTCACAATCTATGGTGCTGAGCATACAATTATTCTGGACTGCTCCACCCAGTCAGGCCACCAAGTGAGCAGGAATGGAGGTGTGCCCAGAAGTCAGCCTGCTAGCCAGGGGGGGGTTATGTTTCCATACACTGCTCTGAGTGGGAGGGCCTTAAGGAGATGGGATCCTAAGAATGAGTCCTTTGGCAAGGGCCTTCCCACAAAGGCAAACAGAGGGGTAGCCTCCAGTCCACCACACATATCGAGGAGGGCAGATGGCAACTCTCAAATCATAAACTCTGATGCACCATTCCTGGCAGACACACAACACCTGCATGCATGGGTAGAACCTGCAGTTTCTGGCCAAAGGTCACAACCTGAATACCTACAGGACCCATGCAGATAACCTCAATTAGTCAAGTTGTCAGGTGAGGAACCAAACAGAAGTTGCTCTGAAGAGTGTCAACTACTATCTAGTTTTACTATAAAATCTGTCTGTATTTGATTTAAATTCCCTTAAAAGCTGATGCTCAATCAAGGACTGGACCCCTACTATGGGTGGTTGGCTGACAAACCTTTTAATTAATATTTGTTTCAAGACAAAGGAAAAATAGTTCTCTGTATCTATTTTCTTAGGTAGGCTAGCAAGGCCCATGCTTGAAGCATGCAAATTTGACCCTTTCAGTCTGTATCCAAGAGTAAGAGTATCACAGGCTGTGGGTGCACACACCTTTAATCCCAGCACTTGGGAGGCAGAGGCAGATGAGTTTGAGGCCAGCCTGGTCTACAGAGTGAGTTCCAGAACAGCCAGAGCTACATAGTGAGACCTTGACTCTAAAAACAAACAAAACAAGTAGTAAAAGTATCTTTTTGTCTTCTAGGAAGGTTCTTTCCTGTTACTAAGGGGCTGAAATTGAAGATCCTGAAAGCATTCTTTTAAGGTTTTAGGACATGGAAAACAACAAAATAACCTCTTTTGATGTTCTTATCTAAAAAACATGCGAAAAGTTAGGAAAACCACTCTTTGCCACTGCTTTCCCATGAAACAGTAAATGCAGAATAGATTATTTTGCATAACGGAACTCAAGAATAAAACCAAGGCTAATTGCTACTGCCAAGCAAGAAGAATCGTGTGGGGTGGGAAAGCTCTCTGTAGGCAAAAGCAAGGAACACAGGATGCATCAGTCAAAAAAGAACAAGGCAGATTAGCTGAGACCGAACTTTTATGTTTGACAGTACTCACTGGAAAAGAAAAAAAAAAAAAGCCAAACTTTCTTTTCTACTGACATCCACAGTAAAATGCGGAGGCCCTTACAAAAATCTAGTAGTTCCACTGATACACACACCCTTCTCCCCAAACTTCTAGTGGCCGAACAGTTTCTAGTAACCTACTAGTGAAAAATACTTCCCAGAATGAAAAATCTACAAGTTCAACATGAACCAGGCCAACTACTCTCGCCTTCGGGAACTCACGGGAAGAGACAAACTCCGAGCGCCCCCAAACGCATTCGGTAGAAAAGGTCACTTTAAAGGACTAAGGGCAGAAGCGCTTGCAGAGAACCCTCAAAGAGTGGCGATAACTGCCCGCTCAGAAGGCATCCAAGCACAGGCCCTTGGAGGCGCGCCCGGCACGCTGCTGCTCTCAGCAAACGCCCCTAGAAAGCACACCGCCCGGCGAACCTCTGCCCTCCGCCTTCTCTTCCAGGAGCCCATCCACGCCACGTCGGGCGCCCAGGCCCAGGCAGCCACGTGCTCGAGCCAGCGGCCCGGAGCTCGCACGCCGCCCCGAAGAACAGCTTGGCGGCCCGCGCAAGGCGCTCACCCCGGCTCACGGACCGCCTAGTGCGGGCCGCCACCCCTTCTGGTCGTGCTCCCCGTGCTCCCCGGCCGTCGCGCCGGCCCGCTCCTCCCACACCAGGCCCCCGCGGACGGGGCCCCGCGCGCGGCAGGCACATGATCCGGAGTCACGCGTGGCACAGGGGCTTCGCCGACTCTGAGGTCGGCGGCCTCCCGCCGTCGCGAGCCCAACTCACCTCTCTCGGGAGCTACCGCCGCCCGGACCCAGACGCCTCCTTCCCCACGCGGCCATCTTGGAGACTCTCGGCTCGTCGGGGGCTGGCGCCGACGCGGCTCCGGGCGCGCGCAGGCCGAAGGGAAACGTAGTCCGGTGAGCCGCTGGTCCGCCGAGGGAGGCGGCGAGCGGACTACAACGCCCACAATGCCGCATGCCGGAAGGCGGCTGTAAACTGCCGCGCGCAAGAGGGCGAAAGGTGGGCTCCGCCTGAGGTAAGAGTCTCCCAGTCGCAGTGTGCGAATTACTGCGCCCACCGCCTGGACGTCCTTGGGCGCCCAGAGCGAGTGGCTGAAGGAGAGCGGAAAGAAAGCGCCTACCACTCCCAGAGCGCTTCGCGCGGCGACCCCGCCCTCACGGCCTGAGAGGCCCGCCCAAGCCTTGGCCTCAGCCCTCTTGCCCTTCACTGTGGCCTCGGCCGCTGGGGGCCTGCGTTTCCCCTGGCTCACACCTCACGACGACTGGAGCAGCTTAACCGCCCCCATTCCTCTCTTCTCATCCGCAGACTAGGACTCGTGCGCCCCCAGTTTGAAGGTTGCCTCTGCTTCCGTAGGGTCAACTGCTCCCCCCCTCCCCCGACCAGAACTTGCCAGGCTGGCAAATTCAGAGATTGTTTGAGGGGTCTGTGGATGCGCGTGACCCCAAAGGCCTGTTCCTCCCAGCCAGTTTTGATGCTTCCAAACCTTGCTTGGGTCTATCTGTGTGGTTTCTAGTAAGTTCCTGGTTTTCAAATTGAGTGCTGCACCCCTGCCTCCAAGTGCCAGACGCTAGCACAGTGAAAGTGTGGCAGAAGGTTAGGGATGTGGAGAGAGAGACAGAGACAGACAGAGAGAGAGAAGACTGAGGTCTGAGGGCCTGCAGAGATGGTTCAGTGGTTAAGGGCACTGACTGCTCTTGAGGGGACTCAGGATCAATTCCTGGCACATGGCGGCTAACAATAGTCAGCTACTCCAGTGACTTCTGAGGCCCTCTTCTGGCCTCGTGAGCACTGCACACATGTGGTGCACAAACACGGGCGAAGCACCCAGACACGTTAGAAAAAGAAAAAAAAAAAAAAAAAAAAGAAAGGTATGAAAAAGCCAGCTGAGCCAGGCGGTGGTGGCGCAGCACTCGGGAGGCAGAGGCAGGCAGATCTCTGTGAGTACGAGGCTAGCCTGGTCTACAGAGCTAGATCCAGGAAAGGCACAAAGCTACACAGAGAAACCCTGTCTCGAAAAACCAAAAAAAAAAAAGCCTGCCTATAGAGCCTGGAAACCCTCCCCTGCCTGGGCTACTCACAAAATACAGCATGCAGGAGAAAAACTTGGTCTAGAGAAGGCAAGTGATAAGGAAATGGCCTATAAAGGTTTGTGAGAATCATGGCTAAGGACTTGAGTTTATGCGTTTTTTCCAGATCACTAGCCTACTCCCAACCTCCCGAGTGTCTTTGTAAATTTTTTAATAAGTTGACTTTATTGTTAATTATGTATCTCTGATACAATTTGTCCTAGACACCGGAACCTAGAAACCTAAGCAGGTGGCCCTCTGTGATGCATCCAGGAGATAAAATCTCTGCTCTTTCTTATTCCCGTTTCTCCCTTCCTTATTTACACTATTCTTTCACTTTCCCAGAAGCATTTTAAAGTGGTGGGAAAGCTCAGCTCTCAAGGAACCCTGATAATAGGGCAGGGGCATGCTCCCTTTTCCATCATCCTTCACTTTCCTGTGTTTTTGTACCTATGGTGTCCTATACTCACAGCCTAGGGAAACCTGGACCCTCTTCTCTGCCCTACTGTAACAAGAGCCAAAAAAAAAAAAAAAAAAAAAAATGCATTGACCAGGGGCTTCTAAGCTCACATTTAAACTGGGAGGCAGCTGTCCAGGAGGGTCTGCCTTTTCTGGGATGCCTGTGAGGTTCTAGTGTTCCAGTACCAAGTCTGAGAAATGGTGGATCCCCCTGGGGATCCATGTCCCTGTCTTGGTTATATTTCCCGTTGCTGTGATAAAAATACCCTGACACAAGCCACTTAAGGGAGAAGAGGGTTTATTTGGCTCACACTTTAGGTTACAGTCTGTGGTGGTTTTAATGAGAATGGTCCCCAAAGGCTCATATATTTGAATGTTTGATTCCCAGTTGTACTGTTTAGGAAGAATTAGGAGGTGTGGCCTTATTGTAGGAGGTGAGTCACTGGGGGTAGGCTTTGAGATTTCCAAAGCCCAGGCCAGGCGCAGTCTCTCTCTTTCTCTGCCTGGTAGTTGTCTCAACATGTAGGATCTCAGCTACTGCTCCAGCACTATGCCTGCTTGCCAGCTGTCATGCTCACCACCGTGATGGTCATAGACTCAGCCTCTGAAAGTGTAAACAAGCCCCTAATTAAATGCTTTCTAAGTTGCCTTGGACATGGTGTCTCTTCACAACAATAGAACAGTAACTAAGACACAATCCATCACAGCAGGGAAACCATAGCAGCAGGAGCTTGAGAATACTTTTCACACGACATCCACAGAGCAGAGAATAGTATTCTTTCTCTCTGTTCTTTCTCTGCTTGTGTATAGTCCAGGATCTCTTGCCCCCAGTAGTGGGTAGTTCTTCCCATCTTAGTTAATCAAGATAATACCCCACAGACATGCCCACAGTCCACCTTAATGTGTCTAGGCAACCCTTCACTCAGACTCCTTTTCCAGGTGACTCCAGTTTGTGTAAAGTTGACAACACAAACTGACAACACTACCTCATCTAAATTTGACACACGAACACATCGCTTTAAACCATAACCTTAAGCTTTCATTCCTTCTTCCCAAAGTCTCATGTTTAGCTCATCATGTAAAATGACAACCCAGCTTTTAAAATCCCAACACTTTAAAAGTCCAAGGTCTTAACTGTGAGTTCCAGCAATAGTAATAATAAAATTTCCATCATATGCTGGTACAGAATAAACATTCCCATTTCAGAATGGAAGGATCAGGACATAGCAAGGGATGATCCAAACAAAACAAAAATCCAGCAGAGCAAACACCAAATCCTGAAGCTCCATATCTAGCATCTGGGACTTGTGATAAAATTGACTATGGTCCGAAAAGTTCAAGTCCTGCTACTTGTAGCTCACATAGCTTAACTTCCAGGCCAGCTCTACTCCACACCTGCAGCCATTCTTGGCAGATGTTCCATGGTCCTGGCAATTCCAAAATCCTAGGGTTTCCAATGCAGCTTAAGTTTCACCTTCATAGCTTCACAAAGTGGCCACTCAGTATCTGGCCTCAGTGGCTCCTCATGACCTCCTCAATCTTTGCTCTCTTTGTCTTTAAACCTAGAGGTCTAAATTTCCCCCATTTTACAACCGGGTTTAGGTTTCGGGTTTTTTTGTTTGTTTGTTTGTTTGTTTGTTTTTACAGCAAACAAGTTTTTTTCCAACAAAGGGCCATTAGTCAACACTGCCCCTGACAGCAGAGATGAGGAGGGAAGCATGTGTGAGGCCTGAGCCAGCCCCTACAGTTTCACAAGACAGTCACACACACAAAAAAAGACAGTTCCTGTAACCCCGTGAAACAGTATGCCCAAAGATGGAAAAACTGAAACCTCAGTCAATCAAAAATATACTAGTGTAAATGTACATTTCTTTCTCACACACCAGTTCCCAAATAACTGACTCAGAGGCTGAATATAAATTATAAATGCTCAGCCAATAGCTCAGGCTTGTTACTAACAGCTCTTACAACTTAAATTAACCCATTTCTATTAATCTATGTATTGCCATGTGGCTCATGGTTTTAGCTGTCCTCTAGTGTGTCTTGCTTCCTGGATGGCTGGTTGGAGTCTCCTGACTCTTCCTTGCTCCTTCCCAGCATTCTCAGTTTGGCTCTCCTGCCTAATCTTATTCTGTTCAGCTATTGGCCAGTCAGCTTCTTTATTAAACCAGTCACAGCAACAAATCTTCACAGTGTACAAAGGGGTTATTCCACAGCATACTAGTGTAACTGCTGCTTGTTTGACCAATTATGTTTGAGATGACTTAACTGTTCCTGAAATTCCCCTAGCTGTGCTTAAAAGGAGCCTGCCCACTCCTCTCAGGGCCCACACCATTTTGTACAGTGAACGACCCCACATATGCTGGGGTAAATACATGCTCTTTGCTCTTACATACTATTTGAGTCTGGGGTCTTCCTTCAGCATTTTCTCGGACCCCTACAAAACCACTATTACATAGATAGTATTGTCAAGCTATGCTGCCAGCTTGAGATATATCCCAACCTTCTTGGACCACAGTTGAATCCACTCTGTGTGCTGACCCTGAAGAAATAATAATCTGTTTACACAGGTGCAGAGTGCCAGGTTTCTCTTTAATGGCTCCATTCAGTCTTTTTAACTTTATGGCTGCTCTTCTCCTCTGAAACTTTAAGCCTGCCTACATACTTTTCCTCTGTCAAGGAAATTAGTCCATTATCTCTAAATTAAACTTCACTCAGGTTCTTGGAACATGAAGCCAGATGCTTGGCCAAAATACCCCAACAATGGCCCCTGGCATAGGTCTTGACACAGTCCTTCTTTGTTACCCTGTGAAATCTCATGAGCCAGGCCTCATCCATTGTGTTTCAGCATTACTATATTCCCAGCTCCCACCAGAATGACCCATGAGTCTCTACTTACAGCTTTCAGTGTTTTCTAGCCTAAAGTTCCAACTTCTTCCACACCTTCCCCACAAAACAGTTCCAAAGGCCCCAAAGCCCCATGTTCAGGTTTCTCACAGAAGCATCTCCACTTCTGGTCCCAATTCCTGTCTTAGTTCCCGTTCCTTGTTGCTGTGATCCACTGATAGAAGCATTTATTTGGTTCACAATTCCTGGTTATAGTCTATCATCATGGCAGGGAAGTCACAGTGGAAGGAGTTTGAGAGAACTGGTCACATGACATCCACAGTCAAGAAGCAGACAGCAATGAATGCATACTTCAACAGTCAAGAAGCAGACAGCAATGAATGCATACTTCTGCTCAGTTCCCTTTCTACATTTGTACAGTCCAGGATCCCATGAAGGGAATGGTGTCACCAACAGTGGGTAGGCCTTCCCACCCACCTGTGCTGGCTAGTTTTATGTCAACTTGACACAGGCTAGAGTCATCTGAAAGGAAAGAACCTGAATTGAGAAAATGCCTCCATGTGATACTGCTGTCGGGCATTTTGTTTTTTTCTTTTCTTTCTATTTTTTTTTTTTTTTTTTTGGTTTTTTGAGACAGGGTTTCTCTGTGTAGCTTTGCGCCTTTCCTGGGACTCACTTAGTATCCCAGGCTGGCCTCGAACTCACAGAGATCCGCCTGGCTCTGCCTCCCAAGTGCTGGGATTAAAGGCGTGCGCCACCACCGCCCGGCTTATTTTTTTTTTTTTTTTGAGACAGGGTTTCTCTGTATAGCTTTGGAGCCTTTCTTGGAACTCACTCTAGACCAGGCTGGCCTCGAACTTACAGAGATCTGCCTGCCTCTGCCTCCTGAGTGCTGGGATCAAAGGCGTGCACCACCACCACCCGGTATGGCATTTCCCTAATTAGTGATTGATGGAGGAGAGCCCAGCCAATTGTAGGTGCTGCTGTAAGAAAATAGGTTGAGCAAACCATGTGGAGCAAGCCAGTAAGCAGCACCCCTCTATGGACTCTGCTTCAGCTCCTGCCTCCAGGTTCCTACCCTCTTTGAGTTCCTATGCCAACTTCCTTAAATGATAGATCATGATGTGGAAGTGTAAGCCAATAAATCTGTTCCTCTTCTTGGTTTTTTTTTTTTTTTTGGTTTTTCGAGACAGGGTTTCTCTGTGTAGCTTTGCGCCTTTCCTGGAACTCACTTGGTAGCCCAGGCTGGCCTCGAACTCACAGAGATCCGCCTGACTCTGCCTCCCGAGTGCTGGGATTAAAGGCATGCGCCACCAACGCCCGGCCTCTTCTTGTTTTTGATAATAGTATTTCATCATAGCAACATTAACCTTAAAACATCACCCATCACATGCCCATAGGCCAAACTAGGGAATCCCTCATTAGGACTCCATTTCCAGCTGGGCGGTGTTGGCACACATCTTTAACCCCAGCACTCTAGAGACAGGGCAACTCTGGTACATTTCAAATGCTGACTGTTTCCTGCATGGTCCAATGCCTGTTGGCTTCATATGCTGACCCAGCCAGACTCTTTCTGGCTGACTATGCTCCCCTCTTTCCTAACACTATGATTTGTTTACTCCTGCATTATTATACTGTAAGTGCTAACTCCTCCCTGCCTAATTACAGTAGGTAGCGCTGCCCCGAGAGTATACAGATAATGACCCAGCTAACAAGACATCCCTTGAGCATTAGATCTAAAGGGAAAAAATCCTACCCATTTGGAATTTTAAACTGAATAATGATGTAAAACAAAATAATAAATGCTATTCATACAAACATGTCTTTTCTGAACTTAGCAGTTTAATAATTCAGGTTCCATTTTCTTTCTATCTATCTATCTATCTATCTATCTATCTATCTATCTATCTATCTATCTATCTTATCTATCTATCTATCTATCTTAGGAGCTTCTTAGGAGAGCAATATTATTCCACTGAGATAAAACCAGCTTCAGAGATGCTCATAGCAAGGAACAACATTCCAACTTTTGTGACTGAGTCCTGGAAGAGGGACAATATAGGCAATTGGTTTAAAGCCCATTTGGGTAAAGAGTAATCCCAGAAGCATTTGGGATACAAACTAGTGCTTCTGATTTTCCTATGACTATTCTCAGACATACCAGAGGTTGTTTAGGGGTCAGAAGACAGGATGGTTGATTTGGGGGCTGGAAAGATGGCTCTGTGGTAAAAGCACTTGTTGCTCTTGTAGAAGACCCAGGTTCAGTTTTCAGCACACACATGTATGGAGGATTTGACATTCTCTTCTGACCTCAGGCATATGTACATGCAAACAAAACACCAATACAAAAAATCTTTAAAAGATGGAGGAAGAGGAGGAGAAGACAATGACAGGATGGAGAACAGCCTTTGAAGGCTCAGCGTGGGCAAGAGAGATGCTCTCTCCACTGGAGAGCCCTTGGTGCATGTCTCTCCACTTAGCACCCTTTGAATTCCAGTGCATCCTCAGAAACTGGACTAATGTTGCTCTTTGAAAATTTTGTGTGTGTTTAGTGTAGGTGTTTATGCACATGAGCACGTAGAGGCCAGAGGTACATGTCAAGTAAGTTTTCTACGGTTGCTGCCATCCTATTTTTTGCAACAGTGTCACTCAGTGAATCAGGATGTCCCTAGACTGGCTGGTCAGCAAGCCCCAGTAATCTGCCTGTCTCTGTCAGAAGGGGGCATCGGATCCCCTGGAACTGGAGTTATAGATGGCTGTGAGCCACCTTGTGCTGGGAATCACACCCATTTGGTCACATTTTATAAGGAATATTAGAAAAATTCCCCGTTGCCTTGGAATACACCACCTACACCACACACACACACATACACACAAATATGTAGATAATTAATTATTGTCAGTGGAACAAGAGAATAAAATTATCAGTTCAACAGTTTAGCCCTGTTAAACTTCCTGGGGGACAGAGACTTGGAGTTTCTATTTATTTATTTATTTTTTTTTGTTTTTCGAGACAGGGTTTCTCTGTGTAGCTTTGCGCCTGTCCTGGAACTCACTTGGTAGCCCAGGCTGGCCTCGAACTCACAGAGATCCGCCTGGCTCTGCCTCCCGAGTGCTGGGATTAAAGGCGTGCGCCACCACCGCCCGGCGGCTTGGAGTTTCTAAAAAGAAGTCATGGGCTGGAGAGACGGCTCAGTGGTGCTCTTCTTGAGGACCTGAGTTCGATTCCCAGCACCTATATCCGGTGGCTTACAACTTCCTGTAACCCCAGCTCCAAGGGGATCTGACACCTTGGAACTCTGTGGGCACTTGCATTCATGTGCACATATACTCCCATATAATAGAAATAAATCTTTAAAAAGTTACAATTTGTAGAAACCAGGCCCCAAGCTTAAAGGTAGAGACTGAAGAGATGGTGTGATAAGCATAGTAAAAAATGCCCTTTAGATCTCTAGAAATAGCTTAGTCGGGAACCCCACTACACCCCAGGCTACAACTGACAACCAGAACCCAACGGCATCATTCACTCAGGATAAACAGACACGAGACTGTGTAAGCGGACGGCTCCATGACTCCCACCTTACAGTATATAAGCAGAGACCAAGAGCAATGCATCACTCTTCACTCTTTAGGACTGTCAAAGACATCGGAGAGACGCCACCTTGATCTATCCTGCTGCCTGCTGCTGGAGAGTCTCCCCTGAAATCCTGACCCTAGAATTGGAGACTGTGGTTAGAGACTGGATCCAACCTTCAGCTAAGATATGTGACAGGTGAGCAGCCTTGGGGAGAGAGCCTTAGGACTGTAGTTAGGAATTTAGAGTATGAGTCTTGTGTGATGACCTTCAGCATAATAAAATATAACTTCTGTTTTACTAACTATGCATACTTACCTTCTTGCTCCCTACAGATGGCCCAGCAGTTAAGAGCACTGGCTGCTCTTCCAGAGGACCCCAAGTTCCATTCCCAGCTTCCACACAGCAGCTCACAATCATTTGTAACTACAGTTCCAGGAGACCCGGTACCCTCCATCAGGTGTGCCCAGCCACTTTGGTTTTAGTTGATTCCAGCCATATAGTCAAGTTGACAACTAAGATTAGCCATCACATGGACTGTTACCTGGAAGTATAAGATGAATAAATTCTTTCCTCCCCAGGTTCGTTTTGGTGTAGTATTTATCACAGGAACAAAAAAGCAAGCTCAGATTCTGAGGTGCATAGATGGTAACATCTGCTAGTTGTTGAGGACCATCTTTCTAATTGGGTGGGAGCTTTCCCTCTCCTAATGCTACATACAACTAATCACATAACAAAAACAGTCCTAGAGCCAACAGTTCCAAGATCATGGAAGTCATTGTACTACCATTATTTCTTAAGAAACTTGTTAAAGCACTAAACACTAACTGGGACTATCATACTCATGGGCATTCTCCCTCCATGGGTAAAGTTGAAAGATTGAATCAAATCTTTAAATGACACATTACTAAGTTAATCCTGGACAAGTCTCAGTTGTCTTGGACTCAGTGTTTGCCTATAGCTTTGTTTAGAATCCATACAGCCCTCAGGACCTAGGACTACCTCCTGGGAAATGCTATATGGATTGCAATATCTGGGGAGGGCCACTGACTTTCCCACCATGGAAGCTAAAAGTTTCTCAGAAATGATGTGCTGGTCTCTCTTCCACCTTGGCTACAAGGCCCTCCTACCTGGACCCCTCCACAGGAATTTACAGCCCATTCTTTCCGGCCTGGAGACTGAATACAAATAAAAAGATGAAGAGACCAAGTTGGAACCAATCTGGGAGTGGCCATTTCTGGTGCTGTTAATTACCCAAACTGCAGTTCAGATGGCTGAGAGAGGTCGGATCCATTACACCTGAGTGAAGAAGGCTGCTGATAACAGTGCCCAGAGAAAATAGACAATCTTTTTCTGTTTGCTTGGTTTTTTTTTTTTTTGTTTGTTTGTTTGTTTTTTTCTAGACAGGGTTTCTCTGTGCAACAGCCCTGACTGTCCTGGAACTCACTCTATAGACCAGGCTGGCCTCAGACTCAGATGCCTGCCTCTGTCTCCTGAGTGCTGGGATTAAAGGTGTGCACCACCACCACCACCACCACCACCATCACCACCACCCAGCTTGAAAATAGACAAACTTACCACCAGGAGAATCTTTTGAAATTAAAGCTAAGAAAGAGCTGTCTTGACAAACAAAAACAAAACAACTAAAACAGAAAAGAACGAAAGAAATAATGAAATCAATCAATCAATCAATCAGACCAGGAACTATTTGTCACTTGGACACATGGGCTAGATGTATATAAATCATATCTGGGTAATAAGAGAGACCCAAGAGATGTTTTTCTATTAGTTCAATTACCTAACCTAGTCTCACCTCTAATCCAAAGATTTTTTTTTTTTTTTTTTTTTTTTTTTTTTTTTTTTTTTAGTTTTTCGAGATAGAGTTTATCTGTGCAGCTTTGCACCTTTCCTGGAACTCACTTGGTAGCCCAGGCTTAGTCCAAAGATTCTTAAAGATGACAAAAGGGTTCACACCATAGAAATTAAAGATTTAGCAAGCCCAGTGGTGATACACACCCTTAATCCCAGCACTTGGAATGCATAGACATGCAGTTCAAGGCTAGGCTGGTCTACAGAGAGAATCAGGACAGCCAGGACTACACAGAGAAACCCTGTCTAGAAAAACCAAAAAAGAAAAAGAAAGAAAAGAAATTATTAAAGATTTTTTTTTTTTTTGGTTTTTCGAGACAGGGTTTCTCTGTGTAGCTTTGCGCCTGTCCTGGAACTCACTTGGTATCCCAGGCTGGCCTCGAACTCACAGAGATCCGCCTGGCTCTGCCTCCTGAGTGCTGGGATTAAAGGCGTGCGCCACCACGGTCCGGCAATTATTAAAGATTTAAGACAGACTATAGAGGTTGGAATGGGGTATGAGGAAATGAATATATAGCTGGAATGGATCAATATTCCATCAATGAATTAAATAAGATTGTTATACTTGAGTATCAAGGAGGCCAGAAGCTCAAGTGGTCCCATTCTTGCTGGATGGACCTCAGACGCCCTAGGGAATCCTTGACTCCTCAGTTCCTGGCCATAAAGACAGAGGCAAAGACCTTTTCAAATTTTTTTTTTTTTTTTTTTTTTTATGGCTTTTCGAGACAGGGTTTCTCTGTGTAGCTTTGCGCCTTTCCTGGAACTCGCTCTGTAGACCAGTCTGGCCTCGAACTCACAGAGATCCGCCGATGCTGGGATTAAAGGCGTGCGCCACCAACACCCGGCGACCTTTTCAAACTTTTGACCGCTCTTGATCAGAACCAATTACATGCCCTGCCTCAAAAGGTGTGGAGAGGAATTTGAATTCTTGGGCAGTGTGTCTGGATGGAAAAGCCTCTGTGCCTTTGAGATGTGACATTACTATAGCCTGAACATTACCAGAGAAGGTGTCTGGTGGCATTGTGGTAGACCATTATCAAAATCTTTCCAGCCAATTGGAGTAGGACCTGTGCTATTCCTTTCATTATTATTTCATCAACACAACCAGGGTCAACTTCAATTGTCTTGTAGAACAAGAACAAGGGAGCTTCTGACTCCAAGAGCGCCATTTGGTCCCCGTGTTTATACAGAGTCCACCAGAGTGCCAGGGGGAAGCCTTGATGAATTTAAGTCAAGGAACCAAATAGCAGCGGCTTCGGGTCACGCTGTTGTTACCATATGATCTACCATAGATAAAATGTAGACCAGATAAATTATATACACCCAACAAAGCTTTGTGAATTGCACTAGGGATGCTACCAAGGGTATAGCAGGTCAACTGGGGGGCAGCAGTAGAATGGGGTGGGAAAATGAACTGGCCCTAGACGTGTTATTACCAGGAAAGGGTGGAGTCAGGTGTGTGGTGAAAGATGGCCAGCGTTGCACTTGCATTGCTAATAACATGGCTCCTGATGGCATCATTACAAGGGCTCTTCCAGAACTATTTGTCTAGTGAACTGAAAGTTCAGGAAAAAATGACCCTTTTTCTCCTTTTTCTAAACTTAAGGAACAGTGGTTTGAAATGAGGTAATGACCCCAGTCCTGACCTTCATTGTTATGGTACTAGGAGGAACAGTTGGAGGAGGATGTTGGACAATCCTGTGCATACAAGGTCTAGTTCAACAATCAACTGACATCAATAATTGACACAATTCCTACATCTTATCATATATGTTACTGATGAGTACCTCAGAGCAGGAAAGTCTGGCAAAATTAATTGAATTAGAAGAAAAGAATGAAATGATATTGTAAAAAGGGCGGGGGGGGGGGTGTTATGGGAGATACAAATAAAATACACTGTCTTTTCTACCAAAGGGTTGTATGAGGCCAAAAAAAATAATTTCAAAATAACACCATGCGGAAAAAAAAATCTCTCCCCAGGGAGCGCCTGTCTTAAGATAAGAGTATGCACCCAAGGCTACATCCTGTTCTCCCAAATTGTCCTTTAGTTACCAGCTGTGCCATTTTGAATTAGCCAACCATATAAGAGTGTTAGGCCAAGTTCTAACCACTCACAGAGGCAAAGGAATAAAAAACCCAGTGGGATTAAGGGTGTGGTAACCCACACCTCTAATCCCAGCATCTGGGAGGCAGAAGCAGGCGGATCTCTGTGAGTTTGAGGCCAGCCTGGGCTACAGAGTGAGTTCCAGGACAGCTAGGGCTACATAGTGAGACTGTCTCAAAAGGAAACAAAACAGCAACACCCCAGTGGGATGGCTCTGTGTGTGCTCCCTGGACTCAGAGCAGTTTTGCACCTTCCGCAGAAGTGAGCTTTTTGCCTTGAAGGAATACTTTGTATTGCGTGATCATTTCCTTGGAATCCCAGACCTATTCCTTTCTTTAAAAATAATTTTTTTACATGCATGTATTATTTTGTGCATGTGGGCACACATAGGCAGGTCGGAGGAATGCTAGCAGGGGTCAGTTCTCTTCTCTCCTTCCATCATGTGGCTTCCAGGGATCAACTCAAATCACCAGGCTTGGCACCAAACACTGTACCCTGTTGAGCCATCTTCCTGGCCCCAGACTCGTTTCTAACAACGGCTTGGCTATGCCCAGTCACAGGGACCCCCAGGGACCAGCTGGCCTAGGTAATTCTAATCTTGGGGCTCCAGGTTCAGAAAGCTCATGTCCTTGACATTTAAGATGAGCACCAGAAGTGTCTTGGTTAGTTTTTTGTCAACTTGATTCAAGCTGGAGCCATTGAGAAGAGGAACTTCAGTTGAGAACGTCCCCACTAGATTAGCCCGTGATCTATTTTCTTGGTTGATGTGGGCAGGGCCAGCTCATGTGGGTAATGCCACTCCTGGGCCAGTGGTCCTGGATTGTATAAGAAAGTAGGCCAAATCCCAGCACTCAGGAGGCAGAGACAGGTGGATCTCTGAGTTTGAGGCCAGCCTGGTCTTCAGAGTGAGTTCCAGGACAGCCAGAGATACACAGAGAAACCCTGTTTTGAAAAATCAAACCAAAGAAAAAGAAAAGAATAAATAAATAAATAAAGGTTGAGCAAGCCATGAGGAGGAAGCCAATAAGCAATGTTCCTGCATGGCTTCTGGTTCAGTTTCTGCCTAGAGTTCTGGCCCTGACTTGCCTTCAGTGATGGACTGTGACCTAGGATATGTAAGCAGAAATTAACCCTTTCCTCCCTGTCAGGTCCAAAAGAAACTGGGGACAAATGGTTAACTGTGGCACCTATTAGCATACCCAAGAGCATTCTGACATCTCTCAGCATCTCAAGTACTTGTTACAGAGTCTATGCTATCGCTGTCAGCTCTTCTCACCACGCGCCCTACCCTTCTCTTGGTCTCTTTTCTCCCTCTCTTGTTTTTCTCTCTCACTCCCCCACCCCCCACTTTCATGGCCCAGTTCAGTCTCCTGGTCATGTTTAATTACTACTTTCTCTCCCTGCTCTAGAATCTTCCAGATGCTTTTGGCTGTACTTCCTCATAGCTACAAGAAAACCCTTCCCCTCAGCCATACCTTGGAGTGGTCATGTCCTCATTTCATTCAGTTCCCAAGTTCATTTTGGCTATGGTGTTTCATCACAGTAACAGAAATCCTAAGACAAAAGATGAATGTACTATGGGGCTTCAGCCTCAGATAAGCGGCGAA